TTTGGGTCCTGTGAGTATTAGGGTACTGGCAATTTGAGTACAGGACTTTCAAAACTCTCAATTTAAACCTTTATCTATTCATTTTTTGGCAGTTTTGGTCCTCCGGACCAAATTGCCGGCCAAAATTGGCCGGAAAATTATTTAATCGTTCGAATTGTTTTTGGGTGAGGGTAAAAACGTCATTTGTTATTGTATTTGGGGGGAAAACACCTTCCGGTCTTTTAGTCAACAACACCACTTGCAATTTGGGGGGAAAGCAACGAATTTGGGGGGAAAATCCAAAGAACTTCATCTTCCACTACTGGAGCAGCGATTGTGTGAAGTGGTCTGGAGCTTCGATTGTGGACATCATCTTCTGGGTTTGGAGAGGGCGAGCTTCATCATCTGCGACTGGAATGGGTCTACAACTACGTAAGAAATTTTTTTTTCGGAGTTTAAATGTGAAGAAATTGAAAGTGTCTGAGCGTATTTGTTGTTTGGGTTGCCTATTTTTTGTGTGTGTGGAGTTGAATGCAAGTTTCTGCATATCTAGGGTTTTGTCCTGGGCTTTATATATGCATAGAATAGGGTTATGTAGTGTTGTTTTGTTCTGCGGGGACCACCACTAAGTTTCTGCAAGTATTATTGCGTTGTGTTGTGTTGTGTTGTGTTGTGTGGGCACCACCACTATACTAATACTTTTGTCAAGATTCCATGTGCATAAACTGGGAGTTGGAGCAATTTCTGTATACCTTTATTGCTTTGTGGTCTGTGGGGTCCAGTATGTTGACTATTGTATGTGTAAATGGTTTCTTTACAGGGGATGAAGTTGGTCCTTTTTCTGTTTGCCTTTTCCATAATGGAGTAATAAATAGGGTAGGTGAGGTTAAATATATGGGTGGTGATGTAGAGGTTTATGACAGAATGGAAGCTAGGGAAATTTGTTTACAAATGTTGAAGGATATGATTAAAAATTTAGGGTATAGTGAAGTAGGAGCACTAATATATTGCCTTTCCAATGATGGTTTGAAGTTGCTGCAATCTGACATGGATGTAATAACAATATTGAATGAGGACAACCCAGGCAATATGTTGGAGTTTTGGGTTGAAACAATGGATGAGGTGGACTTGGTTGATGCTGATATGGAAGTACTGGAGACAGAAAGTGATTGGGAAAATGCAATTGAGGTAGAGTGTTTGAAGGTAGAAGAGCAGGTTGCAGAACAGCAGAAGGTGGCAGAAAAGCAGAAGGCTGCAAATGCAGAAGCTAGAGCTGTGGATGATGCTTTTGTGGAAAATAGGAAAACAAAAAAAGTTAAGACCAATGATGAGGTGGAAATTAAGTTTTCAGATGAGGAGTCAATTGTTGATTCTGATAGTGATGTTGAGGGTAAGTGGCCTATATTTAGAGCTGCAACAGACATGAAGGACCCACAGTTTAGGTTAGGAATGACTTTTGCATCTAAACAACAGTTTAGAGAGGCTGTGCAAAATTATGCTTTCAATAATGGCAAAGAGATTAAAACTCTGAAAAATGACAAGGAGAGGGTAATTGTTAAATGTACACAGGAGGGGTGTCCTTGGAGAATAGGGTTGAGGAAAGTACTTGGTTCAATGACATGGAGGATTTTGAATATGACAGATGAACATGAAGGCTGTAGTTGGGTATGGGAAAATGGTATGGTTAAGTCTAATGTGGTGGCTAAAAGGTGGTTAACTGAATTGCAAGACCATCCTGATTGGATGATGAGGAAGTTCAAGGATAAGGTGTGCAGTCAGGAGGGTTTTTATGTTAGCAATTCACAGGCCTATAGGGCTATTTGGAAGGCAAAGAAGCTAAGGCAAGGTAAAGTGGAAGATACCTTTAAGAAGATATGGAGTTATAAGGCAGAAATAGAAAGAACAAACCCCAAGACAACCTGTCCTGTAAAACTCAGTGACCTAACTGATGAAAGTGGCAATTCTAGGTTTTTGAGAATGTATGTGTGTTGGGAAGCTAGCAAGCAAGGATTCAAGCACTGTAGAAGAATAATAGGTTTAGATGGGTGTCACCTTAGAACTGAAACTGGTGGGATGCTACTAACAGCTGTTAGTATTGATGGCAATGATAGTATATTTCCACTAGCATATGCTATTGTGGAAGGGGAGAAAAAGGAATCTTGGACATGGTTTCTACAACTTCTGAAAACTGATTTGGAAATAACTAGAGGTGTTGAGGATGAATATTGCTTCATTAGTGATAAACAGAAAGGGTTGATTCCTGCATTTGAGAGTGAGCTACCTGGTGTGGAGAATAGATTCTGTGTGAGGCACCTTCATGCAAATATGAAGGTGGCAGGTTTCCAAGGAAAGGCCCTTAAGGACTGCCTGTGGGCTTGTGCTAGGGCAACCACTTTGAATGCATTCAATGTTGAATTAAGTAAACTTAGGGGCTTAGATGAAGATGCATACCAATGGCTTGGTGATAAGAGTCCAACAGAGTGGTCTAGATCTCACTTTTCTACACAGTCTCATTGTGACATGTTGGTTAATAACATCTGTGAGTCATGGAATGGATCTATAAGGGATGCAAGGGACAAACCCATTATTGAATGTCTTGAAATACTAAGGAAAATGTTGATGGGCAAGTTCTTTGAGAAAAGACAAAAAGCTGCAGAGTGGAAAGCCTTGCTATGTCCTGCAATTGTGAGAAAGCTTAAGAAAATTGAGAAGGATGCATCAACATACCATGCAACACAATGTGATTTCCATAAGTTTGAAGTAAGCCATTTATATGGGGATCAACAAGAGGTTGATCTGGAAGCAAAAAAGTGTTCCTGTAGGGTTTGGGACCTAACTGGCATTCCATGCAAACATGCCATTTGTGCTATATGGAAAAAGCATGGTAAGGGTTCAGTTACTGACTATGTCCATCCCTGCTACTCCAAAGAGACCTACTTGAAGGTATATGGTGGTTGTATCAACCCTATGACAGGTCCAGATGATTGGCCACAATGTGACAGAACCCCACCATTGCCTCCTTTGTATACTGCCAAGGTATATATGCTTTGCCTAGTCATTAATGTGTTCTTATTCTATTCACTTTATCTTGACTAAATTGATTTGCAGGTTGGGAGGCCCAAAAAGCAAAGGGCAAGGTCAGCTGCTGAATTGACAATAGATGGAAAGTATGTGTCCAGACAACACATTCAGTTACATTGTGGACTGTGCAGGCAACCTGGCCACAATGCAAGGAAATGTCCTACAAATCCAAATAAAAAGGTTTACTTTGTGGCCTCTCATTAGATATTCAACTACATTTCCTAGTTTTGGTGTATTATGCCTGAGTTTACTTATCATGTTTCTTTGTTTTTTCCCAGTTGAAGCCAAAAAAAAGATTCATCTATAGTGCAAGACAAATCCCCATCCACCTTCCTTCAGGGCACAACCAGCCTCATGAGGGTGTAGCTGAGACAGAAGACCACTTTCCCTCTGGTGACCAGCAGCAGCAGGAGCTAGATGACCTACCAGCAGCACAGCAGCTAGATGAGCAGGACCAAAGCCAATCCAAGGACAGTAAGGGCAAAAGGAAATTGAGGCCCTCCAATAGGAAAAAACCCTATTATACCAGGAGCAAGACCACCTTCAAATCCAAGTTCTTTGGAAATAAGGGTGAACCAATTGACCTTGAGTGATTGCCAACTAGGTGCTTGTTAGGTTGCCTTATGATTGTGTTTTGAAACATGATGGATAAGTTAAGGTCTTAATGGTTTTTGTTGTTTTGTTTAAACTGTGTTTTTGTTGTGTTAGCTGTTTTGTATCAAACTAATCAATGTACACTGCTTTTTTGTGAATGGTAATGCAGCATGTGATTTCCATAAGTTTGTCCAACATACATATCCAACCACAATTCATACATGAATGGTAATGCAGGACCAAAAGCCTGGAATTCATTCAGTAACATATATATCCAAAAACCAAGACTAATTCCTTAATGACCAAAACCAACCACAATTCATACATGAACAAAACCAACCACAATTCATACATGAACAAAACCAACCAAACTACATACATTACCAAACCCTACTACCAACTACTGCTACAAATAACACAATCAAGACTACTAACACCTTGTTCATGGACTTCAAACCTTGTTCACTTCTAAGTTTCGAATTCAATTTTCGTATCTCTTCATCTTGTCGGTTGATGCGTTTTAGCAATCCTGGAATTATTCGCTTTGAACGATAGCACATTGGAGTATCATACCAATCAATAAAACCACATCCCACCTTCCTCTGCAATAATAAACAAAATACAAAACAAAACTGTGATTAAAGTAATTCCTAAAACAGAAAATATCTAGAAATTTGATGTTCATAAATTAGGGTTTGAAACTAATTTAAACAACACAAAAAAAAAACCCAAATTGAGCATTTCGTAGGTATACACAAAAATTAGACTTTCAAAAGTAATTAACTTACATTACCACCCACGCATTGCCAAAATCTACGACCTGGGTTCTCAGCTGTCCATGAAGTGCGTATCTTCAGTTGCTCACCACACCTACAATGGACAATTGGAAACCTTTCCCCAAATTCATAAAACTCGTTGCCATGATTAGAAAAAGAAGATGATGAATACGAATTAGCCATTGATTGCAAGCGGAGGAGGTCGAGCAGGAGTGCAGACGCCGTCGAGGAAACCGGTCGGAAGGTGGAGTAATAAATACGCCGTCGAGCAGCCGTCGAGGTGGTCGAGCAGGAGTCCCTCTGGTGACCGTTTTTTAGCCCAACACGAGGTGGTCCCCAAATAAATACAATAACAAATGACGTTTTTACCCTCACCCAAAAACAATTCGAACGATTAAATAATTTTCCGGCCAATTTTGGCCGGCAATTTGGTCCGGAGGACCAAAACTGCCAAAAAATGAATAGATAAAGGTTTAAATTGAGAGTTTTGAAAGTCCTGTACTCAAATTGCCAGTACCCTAATACTCACAGGACCCAAAGTGTAATTTGTTCATATTTTATATTTATGTCAAATTCCCGTCGGTGGTTCCTCTTTGTTCATCTTCTTCCTCAGCCCCCCACCCACTCCAACCACCCGCCCGCACTGATACACTCATTTCACTCTGCGATACCATAGCTCCAGATTATCATTCATTCATTCTCAAGACAAACTAAGTTCTAGAGAGAGAGAGAGAGAGAGAGAGAGAGAGAGAGAGAGAGAGAAAGGGAGAGAGTTTAATACTGAGCTCTCTTACTCTTTGGTCATAGTAATACAAGCTAAGATGGGTGTAGATGAAGATGGAGCACTACCCACTACCACATTTGCAGCTCAAAAGAGAGCCGGAACACTACCCACCGCAACCGGCCCCACCTCCAACGGCGGAGCCCGCGGCCGAGCTAGCTCTACTCCCTCACGCGGCCGGCAGATCCAGCGGGCTTTCAACACCGTCAAGATTACAATCCTCTGCGGCTTCGTTACCATCCTTGTCCTCCGCGGCACCATCGGTTTCGGCAACCTCGCTTCTTCCCAGGTCTTAGCGGAGGCGGAGAACTTGAATCTCATTGCGGAAACTAACCGGATAATCGCCGAGATCCGGTCGGACAGTGAGCTGGAGGAGGAGGAGGAGGGGGGAACTCTCGACACGAACCCTACCTTCATATTGGGGCCCAAAATCAGTGATTGGGATGAACAGCGAAAGGAATGGGTCCAGAGAAATCCAGAATTTCCGATTACTGTGAATGGAAAACCTCGGATATTGCTTGTTACTGGGTCTCCACCGGGCCCTTGCGATAACCCGGTTGGGGATCACTATCTTTTGAAGGGTATTAAGAACAAAATTGATTATTCTAGGGTACATGGGATTGAGATAATGTATAATTTAGTTCATTTGGACAGTGAAATGACAGGCTACTGGGAGAAACTGCCCTTGATTAGGAGGCTGATGCTTTCTCATCCTGAAATCGAGTGGTTTTGGTGGATGGATAGTGATGCTTTGTTCACTGACATGACTTTCGAGATCCCATTGTCTAAGTATGACAATCATAATCTTGTTATCCACGGCTACCCGGATTTGTTGTTCGATCAGAAATCTTGGACTGCCTTGAGCACTGGTAGTTTTCTCATTAGGAATTGCCAGTGGTCACTAGAATTGCTTGATGCCTGGGCGGTGATGGGGCATAAAGGTCCTGTCCGCGAGGAGGCTGGGAAGATTCTCACGGCTAATTTGAAGGGTAGACCGGATTTTGAAGCTGACGATCAGTCAGCATTGGTATACTTACTCTTGTCAAAGAAGGATATGTGGATGGACAAAGTGTTCATCGAGAACTCTTACCATTTGCACGGATATTGGGCAGGTTTGGTGGATAAGTACGAGGAGATGATTGAGAAATTCCATCCTGGGTTTGGTGACGATAGATGGCCATTTGTGACACATTTTGTGGGATGCAAGCCGTGCGAAAGCTATGGAGAATACTCTGCCGAAAGGTGCTTGAGAAGCATGGAGAGAGCTTTCAATTTTGCCGATAATCAAATACTAAAGCTGTATGGGTTTATGCATAAGGGATTGCTGAGCCCGCACGTCAAGAGGATCAGGAATGAGACTGATGCCCCACTGCAAAATGTAGATCAGTATGATTTACGACGAGCAAAGCATCCAAGTAGATTACTCAATCCTCAACAGTCATGAATCTGTAGGTAATAAGAAAAATCCCTTTTTTTACTTTGATTATGCGTGTTTAATGGTAATTACTGGTTAATCAATAATCACTATTAACAATTTATTATTGTGTGATATTCTTGTTGCCTTGGGGAGCATTACAAGTTTGACCTGCAATTAGTTTTCTCACTTTTCTGTAGTTCAGATTGTCGTGTGTTTAGCGGTGAACATTGGACTGCATGTATGATTGTTGCCGATCCTACTTTGACCAAATTCCTTGCATACTCATTTTCTTGTATCTTTTCCCATCATCTATTTGCTTTGTTTGAATGGGAAAGATCTCTCTTTTCTTATCTTATTGGGTTCCTGAATTTGGTGAGTGCAACAATGGCCATGTAGAAACCAATGCCTTCATTATTCAATTGCTAGGGTTGGCCTTTGTGATTTAAAAAGGGTCACATCTCAGGGTAGGCCTGTATGTGCAAGGGTTCAAGTATTAGTGAGTTCAGGCTGATATTCAAGCTGACAACTTGTGTCAGGTAGCTATAGGCAAAAACTTGTGTAAAACCGTCTCACGGACAAAGATCCGTGAGACGGGTCAGGTTGTACTGGGTGAGTAAGTATCACAATTTCAGTTATAAATATTACAATATTTATCATTAGTAACAATAAATTTTACCCTAAATAGTATCACATTTTCACATATAAGTATTATAATATCTATATTAAGTAATGATTTATTTTTAATTCAAAGTAGTATTAAATTTTTTACAATAAGTATTACAATTTCTTTCCTAATTAACATTTCAAATATAAATATTACAATATTTACATTAGAATTACACTTTGTAAGTATCCCTAATTTCAGTTATAAGTATTACAATATTTATCATTAGTAACAATCAAATTTTTTTTTAGGTATCACAATTTCACATATAAATATTACAATATCAATTATAAGTAACAGTTTATTTATTTCAAATATTAAATTTTCTTTAATAAGTATTATGATTTCTATCACAACTAACAAGCAACTATCCTAGATACAACCCCATCTTATGGATTAATATCCGTGAGACGATCTTACACAAGTGTGACTCTTTTTGAAAAACTTTAATTTTAACCTTCTATTAACTAAATGAAAGGTAGGATTGTTGTATCCTACCCCTCGGCCCTCTATCCCTGCATAATATAATGTCTACATTTTTGGGATGGTTAAGAAGTTTGAGCATTCAGTCATCATATGGGATGTTTCAGGTAAATAAATGGTTTGCGATCAATTAAAATAATCTAGGCAATTTCTTGGTTAACGTTCTATTCAATCTCTCTTCTCATTTTCATCTAAAATCCATGTATCCATCACCTAGACATTCTACTCCCTCTCACAAATTCTTTAGACACTTTTATGATGAAAATATCCAATCTTTGTTTGACATATCATGGAGTAAAAGTGAGGGAGTAGAATTTGGGAGTACATGTAGAACTCTTTAGGATTCATTTCTTCTTAGTTCTTAGTATGTTGTAATCCCCAACCCAACAGGGTAGCTCAAGTGGCAAATGAGCTCTCTTTGTGGGGGAGAATTTCGGGATAACCCGGGTTCAATTCCCACAAGTGACAGTTCCCTTTGGGCCAGCTTCTGTGCCTCTCAGAACGAACCGGGTGAACCTGGACTGTTAAATGGACAGAGAAAGACTTGGACCACATCGTGGTTTACATAAAAAAGTAATCCCGTCCCGGGTGAACCTGGACCGTTAAATGGACAGAGAAAGACTCGGACCACATCGTGGTTTACATAAAAAAGTAATCCCGTCCTTGCATGTCAAAAATAGGTACGGTATTCAAATGGTTGGGTGGATTTAGGCAATTGCGAAATAGCAATTTTATTTAATCACATGCTTTTGAGTTTTGAAACAATTTATAGCATACTTCCCGAGCTAAATAAAGCATATTCATCCAGCTGCTTCATGTTTTCAAGCAAACCTTGTCTTTCTCTTGATAAAGATACAATGCAACTTCTTAAATTTCTTTTGTTTGAATGAATCGTAATTTATTCTTTAGTGGCCTTTGAAAAGTTTGGATAAATACAGTAACCTAATTTCTTTTTGACAGTGACAAAGCTCTGGTGGAGAAGACAATTGAACCGGGGGAATGGTTCCTTCTGCTTTAATACCTTTTAGGGAAGCCGAACTAACAGACCACCAAATTTTCTTTGGAATATGGCCTCCCAAAATTCCGAAATGCAAGTTTTCGTTATTTTTACTTACTTTCAGCTGCAATCTCAGCTACATTGGAAGACAACCGAGAATTCTGTTGTACCGGTGATCTGTACGACTGTACTGAAGGAATTGCTTGTACTCTTACAACTTCTCTACATAGCACTAAGGTATACTACCAATAGTCTTAACCTCCCCGAGCCGAGGTGTTAAAAAAAGAAAGAAAGAAAGAGTGATCATGCTTGCATAATTGTGTTGTAATTTTTTGTTCTTTCATTGCTTCTCCCCTCCCTTTTTGTGGAAAGATTCATTCTTAGGTCAAAGACATGTGATCCATAAGGTCATTATGATGTGTTATATGGGCTATAAGTTATTTATTTGTACTGTAATTATTTTCTCCATTTCTTCTTGTATGGTAAACCATCACACACACTATGGAGTAATACTGTAAAAGTGTATAGATTCATCATTTCCTATTGCCTTGCTGGTTTCTTATTATAGTATACCACTTTTTCATTCAAAATGATGAGTTGGATATCAATGAATTAGATGAGAGGTTCAAAGTTATTGGAACAAAATTCAATTCTCAGTTCTCACTAACAGGTTAGTGAGCTCTTAATTAGTGGCTAGTATAGTATGGTATATCTACTTGCAATTAGTTGTAGGAGGCCAAACAGAAAGAGAGAATAACTATTTTATTTTAAAATGAAAATAGACTCTTAGAGCGAATAATAATACTAATACTTAACAGGTCTTTCATGTGTGAGGTGACTTATGACCTAAAGATTCAATCGCATGACCTTAGCATGGGGTTAACTTTGATACTAAAATGAAGCATATGTTTAATCTCATTTGAAAGCCGTGAGGTGACCTCTGACCTGAAGATTTGATTTCATGACTTTTGACATAGAGTTGACTTTGATACTAAATTGAAACATGCACTCTATCTCAACTAAAAGTCTATGCTCTACAGCATGACAGATTATTCTTAGTCAAAGATAATAATGTTAATCGATGAAGGGTGGTTTCATAGTAGACATGGGGACCTCCATTCCATAACCATTGACAGTGGATTGAAGGACAAGAGATGTTTCTTGCTGACCCCAGCGACAAGGGGCTTACCAATTGCAACAGCTCATAGTTGGTGTGAACATGATCTCAATCAACATATGCTTGAGCCACCCACAGGAAAATACTAGTTAACTTCCCAGAAAATAGAAAATATGATATGAAGGTAGTAAAATATTAACACCATAAATTTTTTGATCTTAATGAATACCTCAATTGATGCATTTATTTCGTTTCAACTAAAGGTTTAAGCTGAGGTGATCCCAAGTCCACAGGACCCTACCCCTAGAGCCACTACTGCTGAGGTAAATCGGGAGTCGCGCAATCAGCTCACCGGTCAAATTCTAATTTTCATGTGCACACAAGGTCTGCACTTCTAGACCTTTAAGTCAGACAATGAACCAAGTTTGGGATACTATTTATAATTATATTTACATACTATATGCTCAACATGGGCAACAGTTGACTCATCTCTGCAATTTGATTCAGCAGCTGCTTTATCCTGTGCACAACATCATTTCAGAAATTTAACCAAACTTTAATTTTCTTTTCATTGGCATTTTCACAAACACTTGAAAGTTGAAGAAAGCAACAAGAAATACTTAAACTGAATACTCGAACATTCGAATCAGCTGTTCCCTGCCCTCTCCGCCGCAGATCAATCTCCTCCGCCACCGAAAATACAAAAAACATCACTACAACTGCCGCCCTTGGCTGTGCCGATTGAAGATATAAATGACACGATTGTCCCTGACACCGTAGAGATATATCGGAAAAGCTGCTCAATCCCGTTGGATTTGGAATGTAATACTTTTAGTAGGAATCGAAACTTTGCCGAGTCAACAGTCGATTTCAATTCGCTAGCTGCCTAGGGCTCCGCCGGTTGAGCAAGCTGGGATTCTGAAGGTGGGAATGAAATACGACAAATCGTCGTTTTCGACACCGAATTGCGATCTAGACGACAATGATGATGACGTGGAAGATTCCCAGGGCGACGGGGGGGTATGGATTTGGAGACGAAAACGACTGTTTCATGTGATTTTGCGGGATGAAATGATGGATTAGACATGCGGAGGCATGCATGCAGCTTCTTGTGGTTAGAAATTTTTAGCAAAAAAATGATATTTTAAGTGATAATTTTGTGCGAATGATATTGTGGTCTAGTCACATGAATGAAGTGACTTTTTCAAATGAAAGATCATGAATTTGAGCCTTAATGAGGTAGTATTGACTCTTTGTGCTTGAGAAAGTAGCTATGAACAGATACTAAATTGTAACAGGGTCAATAGTACTTGAAAAAAGTGTTGATTTTGTGGTATAAATATATGTGAAGTTAGGATTGTACAATGTGTTTGCGCTTGCGCGTGTGTAACGCTCCGTCCTCAAACCCTATCTAGACCATTTCCTTTTGCATAGTCGCGACCTATTGATCTCGTCCCGTCGTCCTGTACTCTTCGATCTCCTTCTGTGTTCTCTCAATTCTCAGTATCTCTTGATTCTTCTCATAATCTTGACCCTTCACCCAACTACCCAAGTCTAGATTTGTAGTTTGTATCTCACAGACTCCAGACTGGTGGAAGCCCTTAGCCATGGTTCACTGGTTCAATACTTCAGTTCGCCTGATTTGCTGTTTGTGACTTTGTGGTCGGCGGTGATAGCCCAAAACTCTTGTGAGACTTATTTCTTTAGAGATTATTGATTAGACTCATTAGAGACTTTGAGTTTTTAAGGTATGTCATAACCCTAATTAAGACATATTATTATATGTTTACTTTTTATTGAGATATTGTGAATAATGAATAATCTGTTATTTGTCTTTGTAATTGCGGATTGTATTCGATGTGTACTTCTATTAGTTATGTGAATTGTGATTGAGATTTTATTTTGTAGTTCTGTTATAGTGTTATTGTGGTTATTCTATGCTCATTGATGTTTTACTTAGTATACTAGTAATTCACCCGCGCGATGCACGGGAAAAAAATTATGTTATTATAAATATAAATAAAAAAAATAGAAAAACTAAAATATTTTAAATTATTTAATATAAGAATATTTTTGAGCTTCCATTGGTCAAGTATTTATTATTTTTATAGAATACAAAATTACAATTAAAATTAAAATTAAAATTAAAATTAAAATTAAAATTAAAATTAAAATTTTGTATGGTTAATATAATCTCTAATTATGTGCATATTCAAATAAACTTATAGAGAGAATTTACATAATTACATTGATTTATTCTTAATTGTATTTCATCTATATTATAATTTTCACAATACGAATAATAACTAAGATAATTACATTTGGAAAACAAATTTCAAATTTTGTATGTGTAAATTTAAACTCTAATTAAACACATTTTTTATATGATTATATAATATATAGCTATTTTATTTTTCAAAAGTATATTTTTATATGATTATATAATATATAGCTATTTTATTTTTTAAATGTTGTGCTTTTTTTTTTTTATTGTTTTATAATAAAGGATGTTGTGGCAATAATTATAACATTAAATATTTCCTAAACCATATAGCTTTATTATATAAAGGATGAGTGTTTTTGTACTTTGTATCTTTCTTCTTTGCAACCTCTTTACTTTCATATTTAATGTGCCAAAGTAGTAAATTTGATTTTAATAAGTTCATTTAGAAAAAAAAAAAAAAAAAAAAGTCACAGGAAGATGTATTACAATTGAAGAGAAAACATTTAGAGATGAAAATTGTCAAGTCTCTATTCTGAAATGAAATATCAAAAAACTAAAGAAGGTATAAAGAAGAAAAATAAAAAATTACTCAATAAATACCATGTACTAATACTAATGTATTTTAATGATTTTATTATTACATAGACTAAAACCGCAATTTATTTGTAAAGTTAGAGGACATATTATAACGGTAAAAAATAAAAGACTAAAACAACTAATAATGAATAATTAAAAGATTAATAACACAATTTTAGTTAAAGGCCTTGTAGTCGAGCGACAGAGTTGTGGCGCCTTAAATGAGATATCTCAGGTTCAAACTTAAATATAGGGACATTAAGTGCTTCAATTAGTTGAAAAAGTGTGTATAAATAGATACTGTACATTAAACTTTCGAGAGAAAAGGGTCAAATAGACCCCTAAACATTACCCTAAAGGTCAATTAGCCCCCTAAACTTTAAAAAATGTCAATTAAACACTCAAACATGCTAAATTTGGTCAATGAAGCCCAAAAATCGGTAAATGACCTGTTTTTACCGGTCATTTTAATTCCGGCGACGAAATCCGGCCACCGGTGACGAATTCCGGCCACCGGCGAATTTTTCCGGCGGCCGACGAATTAATTTTCTGGCCGTCCGGTCGTCTTCCACCGGAGAAGACGACCGGACGGCTGCCTTCTCCAATGGAGAAGGCGGCAGGCGGCCGTCTGCCGCCTTCTCCAGTGGAGAAGACGACCAGATCTGGTCGTCTTCTCCATTGGAGAAGATGACCAGATCTGGTCATCTTCTCCAATGGAGAAGACGACCAGACGGACGTCTTCTCCATTGGAGAAGACGACCAGATCTGGTCGTCTTCTCCACTGGAGAAGGCTGGAGAAGGCGGCCGTCCGGTCGTCTTCTCCGGTGGAAGACGACCGGACGGCCGGAAAATTAATTCGCCGGCCGCCGGAAAAATTCGCCGGTGGCCGGATTTCGTCGCCGGAATTAAAATGACTGGTAAAAACAGGTCATTTACCAGTTTTTGGGCTTCATTGACCAAATTTAGCATGTTTGAGTGTTTAATTGACCTTTTATAAAGTTTAGGGGGCTAATTGACCTTTAGGGTAATGTTTAGGGGTCTATTTGACCCTTTTCTCAACTTTCGATCACATATATAATTGTGGTACGATGCCTTACACCAAAATACTGCATTAAATTATTAAATATCAATCCGGTGTTGACCAATGACCAGTCAGTCATCTTAATTTCTGTTCAAAAGCTGAAGCCAAGTAGCTTTGTTTTGAGGCATTTGTAGTCTTACGTTTTACCTCAGGATCGACGGTCGCCGAATGAAACGGTCGGCCCATTCATCTTTACTCCGGCAAATTATTATCTGGATCCGAGTTCATCTTACAAGGTGGATCCGAGTTTTAAAATATAAAATTTACATATTAAATGTTCACAATTTATCTTTTAAAAATTCATAATTTGTGATGACCATGTATTGTATTCGCAAATTTCAAAACTTAGAAATACAATTTATATTCTAGAAGTTCACAATTTCAATACAAATAATACACAATTTAGGATCATGGTCAAGGTGGACCGTGGTCCATGGTATAACAACTGTCTTTACGGCAAATTATGTTGTGCAAGGTGGACACGGTTCCAAAAGGCGTCGTTTTCGTGGAAAACGACGCCCTATCAATTAAAAAAAATTGCTTTCTTTC